CAACGGGGGGCAAAATGAATCCCTTTCCGTAACAGGTGGTAGCTTAGAGCAAGTTCTTTTAGGACGACGGAGTCGTGCCACGTAGATCGCAAACTGAGTAGTACTTAATATAGTCCTATTCTTTACTCTATCCTTGCCTGAAGCTCTGATTCCTTGCGTCTACTGGTCTGATCCTTGTGTTAACTGGTCAGAAGTGACTAAACCCCGAGGGACCAGCTCGACCAACGAGGGACCCAGGTCTACCAACGAGGGACCGGGTCACCCAATATGGGGACCGGGTCTACCGACGAGGGACCAAATCGACCAATGAAGGACCCAGTTCTACTGACGAGGGACCGGGTCTACCGATGAGGGATCGGGTCTAATAAAAACCGACGAGGGAACCAGGTCTACCAACGAGGAACCGAGTCTATCGACGAGGGGCCGAGGGCGGCCGACAAGAGACCCAGGTCTACCAACGAGAGACCGGGCCGACCAATGAAGGACCATGGTCAACTCCTTTCGGTACCGGTTAACCAGTACTCTGATACTGATTTTTCTTTTGTGGATCCTGCAGATTGTTCTCCGCCAACGGTCGCTTCCCCTCGAAGCCCTGTCTCTCTGGTCTCTTCTCCCTGATACACGGTCTATATTCCGAATCCAACTGGCTTCTGGGGTCTCCATATCTCAAATAAGCACTTCACCACATACTCTCAGACCTTGTACGACCATCCGTCATGTATTCGTTTTCACCAATCCCGACACATTTTTGCCTCTGACTCTCGCCAATGACACATCCTACTTTAAGAGCAAAGGTAGTGTCAACGCTCGAGATTCGGCTCCAGAATCAAATAATATAGTCGCTTTTTTCATTTTTGATCTTGCCCGTTGCCTTGGCTTGCTTGAACCATTTCCCTAAAGTAAGATATTTCCAATACCCCGTGATTTACCTGGTGCTAAGTTAAGCTCCATTTGTGCAGGCGATCGGAAAAACTCGTCAACTTTCGCGACACTTGAAATGTAACGCAGATAATTTGAATCCTCTCATGTATAAATCGGGTCGATCTGAGTGTTAACACCTTGATCTGTCGATCTTCTTTCCCAAATGCATAAATGCAGAGCCTAGAACGATCGGCTCGTACCAGATTCCAACCTGACGAGCGTCCTAGTTTAACATTTTTTTCAGCCTTCGGCGGAAGCATTCCAGCATGCTTGGTTGGAACATACCACTTGCGTATCATGTTGTAGAATTCTTCCATCCGACACTTTCCATTCTCATGGACATCTCCGCAGGCAGCACAGGTGTAAAAACACTTGTCTGAAGAGTGTCCCTTACGACCACACTTTTGACACGTTAGTCTCATGAGGTGAAAGTTATTATTAATGACGTCCTATTTATAATTGCAAAATGGGGGTGCAGAATATTTTAATTAATTATATTTTGATAAATTTGGGAAGGTGGGTTAATTAACAAGAAGGTGTGAGATATGTAACGCTCCCCTAATTTTTAAAACGTCAATATTGGCTTGTTGCTTCAAGTTGTTTTAGTAGCTAAAGTCCGATACTCAACTGATTGCATTTGAAGGCGGAGATACTGCTTTAATTCATACCTTTTTTTAACTGGTATAAAATTCTGACTTTTAACATAACGTAATACTGCCTTAACTGATAACTTGTCGGACAGATTTCGTCGGTCTCAAATGTTAAGCAAGATCTTCCGTATGTTACTATTGCATCGCCGTCCAGCGAAATGCATGGACGGTCCAATCTACGACGCTAAAATATGGTCTTGTATTGAACACGCCATCATTAGACACGCAAATGGAGCGTATGGTGAAGAGAACCCGATCACCATCATATGACTATCTACCTGTGACGGTCTATAGGAAAGGGTAACATAAAGCAAAGATAAAGATGAGGGGTGAGTCGTTACGTCTTTCATGTCGCACTTTACATTTAATACGTTTTATATCTTGCTGTCCATCTCACGTGTCCGTGTGTTCACTTTGACGGCACGATACACGTTCGGGATCATTGCACAAGCGCTAATAATGAAAAAGATGTTTCCAACAACATAGAACGTGGTAGCCATGTTCTTATAGTCCGTACCGTCGTCGATGCGGTTGATATACCGAGGTAGGTAGTACCAGCTGCCAAGAATGAAGAGAAAGGAACCGATGAATGTAGCAACCGCCATGACAGAGGTCCAGCAAACGATATTTCTGATCTTGAAGCCAGTCACCCATCGATCCTCGTGCGTCGTGCAGATGAAAAGAATCTCTACGATAGAGGCGATGCAGTAGAGAATGCAACCGACGAAAAACGACCAGCAGCCGAGTTCCGGTGACTTGACGTACCAGGTGGGCAAGAAGTAGAGCGCACCGAGGTTGAAGATGACCGAGGCCATGTAGTTGCATAACGCATTGTACGCACGGAGGACCTGACGCAACTGCGTACCGTGGTTGTGTCGGATAGTCTGGATGAAGTCGAGGTTGGCGCCCACGAAGAACAGGATGCAGCCGAGCACGAAGCACCAACTGGCAAATGTACCGCCATTGCCATTCCACAATACTGTGTACTTCGGGTAAAAGAAGATGGAACCTATCATGAAGAGGAAGGAACCTACCAGGTAGGACACAACGCGCCCGACCTCGACACGCTTTTCCCAAGACGCAAGTTCGTGTCCACCTGCCAGAAGCACCTCAGGCTGGTGTGGTGTCATTTGGATCACGAATTCGTGCGGGTTGCGTGGAAAAATGCTTTGCATCTTTTGCTGGCTTATTGATGTTGCTGGTGTCTCGTGACTTTACGGTAAATTTAGAAATGAAAGTAAGGTTGTAGACAATTGTGCCTTGAAGACATAATTGGTTCTCTTGGGGTTCAGCTGTGGAAACAGCTGTGCCTGGAAGAGGTGGGTTCAGCTGTAAATACTCAAGGCTGATTAAGCCGTGTTGGTCGCTGCTCGAGCTCAAGATATGTTAGTGACTTATTACAAGGACAACCTCAGCATGCGAAAGTCCCCCCCTTGCAGCATTTTATGTTGCGAGCTGACCTGCCTCAAAATTTCATCAGAAAACCGTTCGCACTGCTCTTGTCGTTGACAGTTGTCTCTTCTCTAAAAAAATTGCAGCAGCATCCAACCACCACGAATATAATAGCTAAGCTGTCTACTCCATCCAAGAGTGAATTTCACGCTGCTATCGCATTAGTCCATGTACAGACACAGTTATGTTACGTTTATCGATTCAGTACCTTTACTGATTGCCATCTTGACATTTACGGACAAGTTTGTTTGAGCGTCCGTTATGAATCCCGTAGCCTTTGAACCGTCATGCCCCGACACGCAAAATTTTATCAACTGCCAGCAGAAAAAAGGCTTGCCCTTACTAAAAGCAAGTTAAAAGTTAAGCACTTGATAGTTTGGCGTGTTTTCATTGGGAGCCCGGAAAGGAGAAAGGACTGAAGGCTGGCCTGTCCTTGTTCAACACGCAGATCTGCTCGAAGTCATAGATCTTGCCTGATACTAACCGAAGATAAACGATTACGTCTTGGAACAATAAGACTAAGCGAAGAAGCCATCCCGTGACGCTATCAGCGTGACAACAGGATGGCTTCTTCGCTTAGTACATTTGTTTCGAGACACAATCGTTTGACTACAGAAAGGACTGAAGATGGCCGTATACTAACGAAGAAGCCATCCCGTGACGCTATCAGCGTGACAACGGGATGGCTTCTTCGCTTAGTACATTTTCTCCAAGACGTAATCGTTTGACTACAGAAAAGACTGAAGATGTCCGTATACTAACGAAGAAGCCATCCCGTGACACTATCAGCGTGAAAACGGGATAGCTCTCAAGATGTAGGATGACGTGGGGTCTGGACACAAATATGGCAGGTCCTCGCGACGATATGTCGAGCACAAATTTGGGTACACAGGAATGCAGCCGTCTACAAGACTATCATACTCCACCTTCCCACCAGTTTTTGGACTTTGTAGCTCCGAGCAATCGTAAAGAGAGAGCATCAAAAAATTGCGTCAGCCTCAATGGTGACTTGCTTTATGCTTGCATCGAGTTGCTAGAGCGCGACCCTAGAGGGCCACTAAGTTTTATGGTAGCCGGTCACGATATACCGCCGGGCCAAATGGCGCTGAAATCCTACTTTCCAGAGATCTTGCATATAGTTAACACCATGTAAATAGACGATCTGAACTTCTCTCCTAAAAATATATTTCTGGTGGGTCGTCAACATATTCTTCGCGAATAAAAAGTGTGCAGAGCTGGAGCTCCAGGATGCCGTGTGGTAGTGAACTTTAATGCATGAAGAGACGGCTGGACATTCGGAGGAAAAAACGGAGTGAGATGGTTGAGCTCTGGCCTTGAATCGTGAAGAAACTAGGTAGCACCGCAAGCGAGAGATCTTATTAGCATTCTCACGTGAGAGTGCTAGCAAGAATGGTTCCGCTTTAATCTGAGTCGAAGCCAGCAATTTGCACGTGATCCAATGTCCAGTTACGTTTCTCTATGTTTAAACCACACGTGATACATTTAAGTTTTTCTTGGCGAGCAAAGCAACTCTAATCGAGATGAGCTCAAGTACAACACAATGGTAGCAATATTTAGTGGAATGAAATGGAGATGTAGATTAAAGATGCGGCATGTTTTGTTTTAAAGAAGCGAACGACTACATAGCTTTGTTGCTCCTACAGGAATGCTACTGGTATCGCTACCGCTTTCTGAAGCCATCGCCTCTGCGCTTATGGTAGGCAATCTGGTCTGGAGATTGTGGCCAACGTCCAGCGAAATGCATGGACGGTCCAATCTACGGCGCTAAAAACACGGTCTTGTATTGAACACGCCATCATTGGACACGCAAATCGAGCGTATGGTGAAGAGAAACCCGATCACCATCATATGACTGTCTACCTGTAACGGTCTATAGTAAAGGGTAACAAAAAGCAAAGATAAAGGTGAGGAGTGAGTCGTTACGTCTTTCATGTCGCACTTTACATTTAATACGTTTTATATCTTGCTGTCCATCTCACGTGTCCGTGTGGTCACTTTGACGGCACGATACACGTTCGGGATCATTGCACAAGCGCTAATAATGAAAAAGATGTTTCCAACAACATAGAACGTGGTAGCCATGTTCTTATAGTCCGTACCGTCGTCGATGCGGTTGATATACCGAGGTAGGTAGTACCAGCTGCCAAGAATGAAGAGAAAGGAACCGATGAATGTAGCAACCGCCATGACAGAGGTCCAGCAAACGATATTTCTGATCTTGAAGCCAGTCACCCATCGATCCTCGTGCGTCGTGCAGATGAAAAGAATCTCTACGATAGAGGCGATGCAGTAGAGAATGCAACCGACGAAAAACGACCAGCAGCCGAGTTCCGGTGACTTGACGTACCAGGTGGGCAAGAAGTAGAGCGCACCGAGGTTGAAGATGACCGAGGCCATGTAGTTGCATAACGCATTGTACGCACGGAGGACCTGACGCAACTGCGTACCGTGGTTGTGTCGGATAGTCTGGATGAAGTCGAGGTTGGCGCCCACGAAGAACAGGATGCAGCCGAGCACGAAGCACCAACTGGCAAATGTACCGCCATTGCCATTCCACAATACTGTGTACTTCGGGTAAAAGAAGATGGAACCTATCATGAAGAGGAAGGAACCTACCAGGTAGGACACAACGCGCCCGACCTCGACACGCTTTTCCCAAGACGCAAGTTCGTGTCCACCTGCCAGAAGCACCTCAGGCTGGTGTGGTGTCATTTGGATCACGAATTCGTGCGGGTTGCGTGGAGAAATGCTTTGCATCTTTTGCTGGCTTATTGATGTTGCTGGTGTCTCGTGACTTTACGGTAAATTTAGAAATGAAAGCAAGTTTGGTGCCTGGAAGAGGTGTGAGATTTGCTTGGGGTCCAGCTGTGGGTAAGGATGGATAAAGCCGAGTTGGTCGCTGCTTGAGCTCTTAATGAGCTGATGTAGCCCAACACGGCGGCTGCCAATCAAAACACGCCAAACTATTAAGATGCTTGACCTTTAACTTGCTTTTAGTAAGGCGAGGCCTTTTTCTGCTGGCAGAAAGCCGGAGCGACAAAATTTTGCGTGTCGGGGCATGATAAGTGGTACGGCTCGAAGCCTACGGGGTTCATAACGGACGCTCAGACAAACTTGTCCGTAAATGTCAAGATGACAAGCAGCAAAGGTACTGAATCGATAAACGTAACATTACTGTATCTGTACATGGACTAATGCGATAACAGCGTGAAACTCATTCTTCGATGGAGCAGACAGCTCAGCTACTGTATTCGTGGTGGTTGGATGCTGCTGCAATTTCTTAGGGAAGAGACAACTGTCACCGACAAGAGCAGTGCGAACAGTCAGCTGCTGATATCTTTTAAGACGGGACATAAAATGCTGTATGGGAGCTACGCTGACAAGAGGAAGATTTTTGCATGCTGAGGTTGTCCCTGGAAAAGTGAGTTACTAACATGATCGAGTCATTATGGAAAGTATATCTATCACTAGGATGTCCTTGTTCAACACGCAGATCTGATCGAATCAACTCAGTCAAAAAAGAAAAATGATTACGTTTTGGAACAATATACGAAGCGAAATAGCCATCCCCTTTTCACGCTAGGAGCGTCACGAATTGCATTGGTGACAAATATTTCTAATGGGGCTGTCAACATATTCGTCGCGACTAAGTGGATACTTACGAATTGGTGGCTGCGACTTACATTAAAAGCAGAATCAGTCTTCATAGCATATTCAATTATAGATACGCAATCAACAATGTCACTCCGAGCCCGCATTAGCACTGTATCGCTTCCCTTTGGTACTCTTTCTTACATGTGCAGGCGATTGATGAAGTAGCTCAGATCCCGTGCATTCGACGCTGACTTTACTTTGGTCGAGCGATAGATCGAATTGAGCGAGTCATCAATCAGTTGTTGATCCAAAAGCTTTTGACAAGCACTGAATGCTGCAGACGCTCTAGCACTGGCTTTCGAAGGCATTGGATCACTTCGAAATGTTTCCAGCTCGAGTTCAATTGGGAGGTTAAGCTCTGCTGTAAACATAACTTTTCCGCCGTAGCGAGCCTCTGAAATGGAGTACAACCGCTTCGCGTTCACGGTATACAACTTGCTCGGCAGCGACTGACAGAACTGGTTGATGCAAGCAATACTGCTATCCAGATCCAAGACAGCACCAGTAGATTCAATTTTGATCTTCTGCTCACCACCACCCATCAGACGTGCAGCAATGGATCGCGGTTGTTGCTGAACAGTTTCAACCTTCTCTCTCGTAAACTCGAGCTGGTTGATTACCTCCGCGTCATGGACCAACTGTTTGTAGTATACCTCGTGAGCTAGATCACCTTCTTCCGCCAAGTAGTACACGATGCCATCTTCGTGACGTGCACGTCCTTTTAATTGCATCAACATACGAGCAGTACCAACGCGATCCATTACAACAATCAGCGCGCACTGAGGAAAGTCAACTCCCTCCACGGAGACGGCCGTGGAGACTAACACGCGAATGGATCCCGACTCGAATCCTTTCAGAGTTGTCTCCATCTTGGGTAGTAAAAAAGATGCTGTATCACTACGCGCTGCTCTTCCCAAAATGCTGGCAAACGGTTGGTCCACTGTTGCTTCATCCGTAACGTGGTTGTTGGACTCCACACAGAACTCTTCATCAGGTCCATCACCATCTGCTGCCAGTGGCGCAAACTTTTCGTTGAAGAAGTCCGACAGGACACGGCATTCCATTCGTGTGTTCACAAAGACGATGCCCTGAAGATCAAGTCGACCGTTTTCGCAATCGTTGAGCTCTTCTAAGTCCTCGCCCGCTGGAATGGAGTCACTTGGAACTGGATCGTCGCCAGCTTCATTATCGCTGTCGTTATCGTCGTTGTTTGTTAGCTCCGCTCCATCAATCTCCTCGACCTTGCCTTCCACTTCAAACAATTGCGCACGCACAATGTCTTCCACCTTTTGCACTTTTGCTGTGCACGCAAACTCGCAGTGCTCGCGCTTGGCAGCAAGCATTAGCATCGTTTTGACTGCATCTCTGTCCAGTCCAAACATACTTCCAGGCACAGTAATCAGCAACGACGCAGCTATCGCCAGTCGATGAATCTCTAGCTCTGCAAAGCGGTAGTAACACCACGGGCCCAGATTCTTGTAAATGGTAATACAGTTCTGCATAAACCTTTTCCTACTTTTCTCCAACTTGGCTGGATCTGTTGCTGCATCACTCTTTCCCTTCTTCACGAGCTTTTCCATCACTTCAACTGCTTTGACTTCTGCCAGCTCCTTTTCCATGTTTTTAAAGACCCACACCTCGTCTACACACTCGTTTACATCGGCGTTATCCTCCTCTTGTCCCTTCACTTCCCATGGCTTTTGCACAGAGTACGTCTCATACAACATTGGTGCAGCTGCTGCAAACTCTGCAATCTGTGTCTTGTCCAGCTCTACTTTCTTCATTTCTGCATGAAGTTTCTCGGCGCAATGACGCGTTGGACACGCGGTGGTACCAAAAATCCGTGGCATCATCTCTGGGTCTTCCTGATTGAGCAACTTAATGACTTGTGCGTATGGATGACGCTTGGTCACGTGATGACATTCATCAAACACTAGCAGATTCATGCGACTGAGTGAAACGTAACCCTTAAGTAACATATTGCGCACGATCTCGGGCGTGCACACGAACACGCGGGTGAGTTTCAGCTCGCGTTCCCACTGGACGGCGTCCCATAGATCGGCAGTACGACCACAATATGCATTCACAAGTAAAGTGCTGGTCTGGCGGATCTTGGCCGTGATTTGTACGACCAATTGACGTGTGGGGGCCATAAAGAAAGCACGTTTCTCCCCTGAATAATCTTGCTCACTCAGCAACGCAATGGCTAAAAATGTCTTGCCAATACCAGTGTCACCAACCATTACGACGTTCTTTTCACGAGCGAGCTCGAGAATGTCACGCTGGAATGCACGGAGCTTTATTTGCTGCATCTTTGATTTTACTTGCTACTAATTTGATACTGACGGATTTGTATCGTTCATTGTATCTAAATGTCTGGAGCATATGGGTTTTCGGGTAAAGGTCTTACTTAACGTCAACTGATTTTGCAGCGCGGTTAGGGCATACGCCCTACAAGTCACCAATTACAACGATTGTAGCATCCCTGGTTCAAATCCGCTTCTTTTTTGTCAGCGCCCTGCAGATTTCCACATTTTCGTGATATTTCCCTGAAGTAACCCCAACTTAGATTTTTTATTAAACCTAGTTAAAACCAAATTTTCAGTCGTTTAAACCTAGTAAAACCATAACAGCCATACCGGCAAGGTACTCTGACCAGGACATTTACAAGCCAAAGAATTACATATGATGGCCTGCCTTTAAAGAACACTCCAAAGACAATATCGCCCTTATTGTCCTTTATCAAGCCAACAGTGGAGTTCATTGGATCACATGACTATTGTGCCTGAAACTGATCAACTGTAGCTGGTGAATCTTCAACAGCGAATACGAAACACGGCGCTTGTAGTTACAGTGCATCCACAGCTACATGGGATTCCCATGAAGTCTTCCACCCTCCGTTAATAACATCACGTTTTAAAGGCTATGCAACGCCAATATGTTACATCGCGCCATATACAAATGCCTCTTGCATGTCGCGCCCCAGTCTGTACAGACTTAACTAATAGGTGGCTACTCGGAAGCATACTAACACCTGGTATTCCGTGAGATTGTGCCCGTTCCCAAAGATGTGCCAGTGATTGCGACATCGGGGAGTGGTTGCCGTCCTGTAAGCCGTTACGGTGTTGTAGCCTGGTGATTACCGCCATGAATGCTGAATGTAGCCTGCGTGAGGCAACACGCGTGACTTAGAGAGTGCGGGCTGATATAAAGCATGTGTTGCTAGAAACCCCAGACATTGTAGCCGGGAGCTTATTTCGTCTACGTGACCACGCTATGGATTTAGCGAAACAGGAGTTTACATAACAGGAAGTGCATTCACGGAACAAGAGGTAGTGGAAGTACAACATACTCAGCGGTCACAATCAGGAAACAGCGGCAGGATAGAGATGTGAGCAATGATATATACCTCTGCCTAGCAACGGAAATGTTCCAAGACACCATCGTGCACCAATAGCCAGAACGGCACAGTTCTCGTAATTGACAGAAGACATTTATGATTGAGGCCTACTCGAGGTTCCAAGATACGCTAGAATGTCATCGTAGAAAAGGCCAGCGAGAGTTTTAAACTGTTACTTGCGCCTGAATGCCGATCCTCATCAAACTACTAACGGGGCCTTGTCAGCATTACTTGTCCCCCCGATAATCATAGAGAGGCTTGCAGTAATAGAGCTAACCTTTTTAAGAATGTACAGTTGTCGCAAGAGTATAACCACTCTTACTTTCTGCTTCTTTTCTTCGGTTTGCCGGATGGGCGTTTGCCCTTCTTGCCACCGGCATTTGGGCCGTACAGTCCTGGCGCCGAGACCTTAACGGGGCCGACCATACAGCTCACCAGTTCGTTCTCCGTGATGCACCGCATGAGCTCGCGCTGAGCCGCAATTGGATTCACGTCCGGCTGGGCCTCGTCGTCTGCTTCGCTGTGCATTTTCGTAGCGTCCTTTTCATCCTTTAAATTGGATGCGAAAAAGTGCTCCATTGCCTGCTTGGCCGCCTTGCCCTTCTTTTGACTACCAGGTGTAAGCTTCACCTTGTACTTGTATTTTGTCAGCGCGGCATATGGGGCACACATGGGCATTGCGAACAACACAATGTCATTCGGCAACGGCTCGCCTATAAACGCATCGAAAAAATCAATACCTTCAGCCTCGTCCTCCTGCTCTTCCAGGAACTTTTCCTTTTTCTCGCGCTGCTGGCGAAAGTATTCTTCACTTGTCTCCGTCCTCGTAGCGGAAGTGGCTTCGTCATCCTCATCCCCAGATTGTCCAGCCGAAACGTTCTCCTTACTCTGCTCCCTGTCTTCCTGTCCTTCTTCTCCAACAACGTGACCCAGTGCCTTCATTCGCAGCCGACGATCCTCATCGTCTTGGTCAACATACTTTTTCTTCATCTTTTTCATCTTGCTCTTCTTACCACGAACATTTTTCTTCTGCTGTAGCGTTTGAACAGCACTCTTGTCTTTTCCCTCACCAACGCATTTTCCCTGTGCTTGTTTTTCCTCTCCAGAAGGCTGCTCAGCAATGGTATCTTTAGCAGCTGGCATCTTTCCTTTTTTCAAGTCACGGCGCTCTTTAGCCGACAAACGCTTTTTGCTATCGCGATGAGGCTGCTGCGCGGACGTGCCTGCCTCAACCACTCCATCATCACGCCCGTTCTCTTGCACTGCAACCACTGCCTCTGCAGCACCTTGAGGATTGTGAGCGGTAGACAAAATTGTGTCCGTCTCCTTTTCCGAAGTGTCCACTTCCTCTGTATGTGATTGCGCTTTTCCTACTGGAAACACACACTGAGTTTCTTCCACGGCTTTTACAGCTTTCTCATCATCAGAACCATCTAATACCACTCTTTCTTCACTCTGGCGTGCGTGATTGCTGCTTATACAGCTTTCGTCAATGCGAAAGAGAATCGCTAAGCCCATTTCAAGACGAGACGGCTGGATGAAGTTCTTTTTGCCACGGACCATAAAACTACCTGTCGTAAGGTACGTGCCTGTTGGTGCCGTTTTTGAGACCTGGCTTGCATGCACCCAGTAGGCCCCAGCAATCACCTGACTAGTCCAGGCGCTACTGCGGCACACACTCATGCACCCTGCTTGCTCAAGCGTGGCCACAGGAATAGGGGGTAGCTCATGGGTCTTTTCATCCTTCATAACAGCATGATTACGCACAATGCACGTGGCAGCACCATGGAGATCGGCGTGGACGTATACGTCACCTTTGCGTAGATAGCGCTTGACCAGCTGCTCGTTCTGCTGAGCATCTTTTCCTGCAACTACCAGGTATTTTTCATTGGTAAGGAACCAATGAAACTTCTCAAACCAGAGCGTTTTACGTCGCTGGTAGATCACGTTGCGCTTTGTTTGCTGCTTTTCCAGTGTTTTCTTGGTGTTCTTCTCAGCTAGCGCAATTGCCTTATCGGTCGCTTCCGTGGCCTTCTCCACCTTTGCACCGGCCTTTTTCTTCTTAGTATAGATTTCACGTGCATTGGCAAGCGCCGATAGCGACAAATCGATCCAGATAACGTGTGCCATCTTGTCTTCCTCGCCAGTACCATCACCTCCGTATTCGCCCTCGTCACCCACATCTTCATCGCAGAGCAAGAGTGACACGCGATTATGCTCAAGATCTAGTTGGTGAATGAGACTTGCCACGGGATTGCCAATTTTCTGCTCGTAGCGTACAAGCTCTTCCAGGCCGCGCCAATCCATACCACTGGCCAACGCGCTACGAATAACAAGGAGGACATTCTCTACGTCCTGTTGATTGGCTTCAAGCAGCTGGGCGTGCTGAAAGCTCTGCTTTTGAACCTCGTGCAACTGATCAAGCTGTTGCTGCTGGTTTTTCTTAAGCTTAGCAAGCTTGTTTTCCGCCGCAAGCTGCGCACTTTGCTTTGCCATCTCTGCCGTCTCCGCTTCGGAGCGCGAAAAGTACTCATCTACAGCCTCGTCAAACGTGTCAAAACTCTTGACCTTCTTGTGCGAATGCTGCGCGTACAAGAATGGTGTAAACTCCTCAAATTGCTCTGGGGCACGCTCATCTGCTGAATCCTTTAGAATAATGAATCCGCACTTTTGTTTAACAGCGGAGAAATCCTTTATAGCAGCGGGAAGAACAGTATCATCATGATTGTCATCTCCAGTATCAGTAGTCTTCTCGTCACTTTGGACAGGAACCGGTCCATTTACAGACGTCTGTTCATCCCGGAGTCTTTTTAGTAACTTCCACCCCTCTTGGATCTCGGCCAACAATGCAGTCAGCTTGTCTTCACCTAGTGCCGTAAACTCTGCAGCATTCTTAATCTTTAGCGTGGGTGAGATATCCGCACGCACAAGACAGTGTTCAATGATTACAGGACCTAAGCCACCGAACGTCGACTCTTTTACGAGCAGTAGTTGCTTGATCGTCTGCGCTTTTTTCTTCTTCTTCTGCATCTTGTCTGGAGTGGACAGCGCAGCAGCTGTCTTTGCCTCCTGGTCTTCAAATCTTCTGTTGACAAATGTTACAAGCTGTGCAGTAGTCTGTATCTCGGGCTGTTTCTCCTGATCACCTAGTAGTTGTACTGGATACTCCTGTTTGACCGCCATCTTGACGTTCTCATCAAAGCGATGCGTGCGTAGCAACGACAAAATACGGTAGTCCCCATCCGTAAGAATGATATTACCCGAAGCATAAAGTTCTAGGATCAAATGACACTTCAATGGGCCCTGGCCGAACGTCAAGTCCACGACACGATCTCCTTCCAATTGCGTCAGAGCCGACAGCCTCTTACCTCGCAAGTGTTTACGTAGTTTCATTGTAAATTGACTCGGTAGTACATTAGACGCCTTGGCTTCACGTGCGTACTGACTCGTGTGGAAGCGGACGCCTGATTCAAGCAGCAAGAAACGCTTAGGGAATGGAGGCTGGTGTAGCTTAAGAATGTATATTTTAGCACTGCCACTGTCGCTTTGCCCCTGTATATCGTATATATTGGTCACAAACATGTTCACTACATTAGCACGAACACTCCCGACCATTGCGTGGATGTCATCGATGGACATGCGCGTCTTTTTCATGGCGTCTCGACCTTGGATCGCGGTTTCAATGGCAATTGGATCGAAATGGGTATTTTGTGTGACGTACGTAGATGATGTGCAAAACGCCATTCGCAAATACGTAGGTTGCACAAAAGGTACATAGAAAGACGTTGACATGGTATTAAACGCGTCTTTGTAAAGACGAATCTCACAATAACAATTTTGTGGATAAAGAGATCAATTAAGCAAGGTGCAGAGGAGATCAAAGCTGCGCCGCTAGGACGAAAAGTAAAGATCGTTTGAACCTTGAAGGAAATGATCCAAAGTGAATCAGTTCATTCGCAAACTATTATTTCGCATTCTTTGACTCATGCAGCTTTATATCGGCTCCAAAGTATTGGAGCTTACCGGTTAAGATACTCTGTATCGTTTACCGGGTAGCTGAAACCAATTTGTTCACGCTTATGATGAGGAGACGCGTAAAATGAGCAGACGCGTAGGATGAGAAGATGTTTGACATGATTTATGTGTGATTTACATGTAGAATATGTAGTAGTTAGATAAAGCTACGCTAACGAATTAATTTTAAACCATCTTTTCGCTCAAATCGTTTAATCTCCACTCAATTGCATACTTTCTTTGACATTCAAGCTTCTCTTCTCTTCGCCTCGCTTTGTTTCGCTTAGCGTGCTCATTGACTAACAGATTATAAGCCCGAGTACCGTGTCCTCTAGCCCAAACTCGACCAAGACAAGGTATCCATTAAACTTATTTAATGAGTACAACTATGCGACATGGAACCGCTTTATGTGTGGCGTGTAATTACCAAGTCAACGTTGCACGTGGTCGGCTGGGAAACCATTTTAATCTTCACAAACCCTCGCACCTCCGATGAGTACGTCAGGACAAGCAACATCGCTTTGGCCTGATGTTGCTGCACATGAATGCAGACTTAACGCCACGTGGTTGACAATTTCGAGGAGCGTGACTAGCACGGTCCCAGCTAAAGACAGTTTATAGCGGATTGCAGAAGGCTGGGCGCATTTATCTCAAGCGCCAGCTCTTCAGCATGGAGATGGTGGAAGGCACCAACGTATTGCATCACTGCAATGAAGACATGAACATCAGTGCCAAGCTTTGCAGCATCGGTGCCAAGATAGTAGACGAAGATGTGGCGATCTGTTTGTTGCGCAGTCTCCTAAAAGGTTACGAGAATGTCGTGCTGTCTTAAGATAAGCAGCGCGACATTGCGTACGCGAGACGTTGTGAAGGTGCTCGCGAATGAGCATATCAAGAGGCAAGGTAAAAAAATGGCATTGGTGTAAGTTAAAAAACAAGCAATGCCTTTAGCACCGACAATAAGTCTCGCCAGTATATTTTTTGCGGAAAATTGGGGCACGCGGTGTAGCGATGCTGGACCAAGCAAAAGGAGGAAAACCCGAACAGCTCGACGCGGCGGGAATGATCGTGGATGCGGAGCCAATAAGTCCAGCGGAAGAGCTATAACAACAACCATGAACATGATGGAGTGGCGTTCGCTATGTCACTAGAGTTTGGACTTTCGAAAGGCAAATAATTGTCTAAATTGTGGACGATTGACAGTGGTGCCACGCACCACATATGCTATGCCCCCAAGGCCAAGTCCAAAGATCTTAATGAATATAATAAAGAAGAAGTGTCAGTCGCAGGTGGAAACAAGGCTTCGATAGAAGGGTATCAAACCATCGTCGAATATAAGGTCCTACCTAACGGTGACGAACGTAAAAAAATAAAGAATACGTTTTTTGTACCAAGTATAGACAAGAAGTTGCTGTCAAATCTGCAGATCAAGAAGAGCGGGAAGTTTCATGTGATGTTAAAAGGAGCCAAGATGCACGTTACGTGCAACGGTAAGAGGCAAGTAGTGGCAATGTCGGAGCTTGTGGATGGGCTTTATTGGCTTTGAACTTCTCAACGGTCTGCAAATGCTGCATTTCGGCAAGGAATTTAAGATCTTCACGCGCGAATGGTTCACGCACCGATGGACGTTCTTTTCAGAATCGTTGCCAATGGCATAATCAAGGATGCCAAATTTCCGACGACGTCACGAGGATCAAGTGTGTGCCATGGGTGTCAAGCAGTAAAAAGATTCAAAGACCATTCCCAAGCAACTAAAACAAGCGTCTGTAACAGGGTACCTAGTTACACGTAAACATTAAGTAATATACTTAATGTTTGGTCTAAAAGTATCCATGATTACTTTTGACCAGTCACTTGGGTGCGATACACAAATGTGATCCACCCTCGTGAATGTGATATCCATTGATGGATTCACATGAGAAGGGAGGACGCTAGTTGAAGCTAGGCATCGCGACGTCTCAGAAGGACGTCAGTTGCAATCTTAAATCTAGATTTAAGATCATGCGACAGGATACGCTTCTAAAGAGTCGCGTATCCGATCTATATATATATATATATATATATATATATATAGCCAATCAGTAGTTAAAACATATATTTAGTTATAATTAGTTAAATATATCTCAGTCTTGAATTTCCTTAAACCGAAGCACCACGCACGAGAAGCCGAAAAGCTTCTACGTGACGTCGGTGCCTTCTTGTTAAGAAGTTCGTTGCACTCTCGCTTAAGCGAGAGTGCAACTGGTGGTACGACTGCTTAAGCAGTCGACCAACCTCCCAACCACCCTCGCACGCGAAGGTAAGACGGTCAGAACGCCACCTCGCTTGTGCTGAAGGTGTGTGCTAGTATCACGAGGCAACTTCGTAGAAGTGCCCGTCTACGCTTGGTAGCACTAGCTGTCCTTCCCACGACCCGTCTCTCTGAGCGTGCGTGTGGTTAAGATGGTCCTTAATATGGACTGGAGTGACTTCCCTCACCTCTCCCACCACCATAGGGAGTTGGCAGAGCATATGGCGCAGGGACTTGGTGAACAAGCCCTGGTCAACCTCTTGCATTGTCCTCCTGAGCAACATGTTGCTCAGTTGGAGCGGTTTGAGGCGTTTGTGCTCGGACAGCGTAGAAATGCGTCCGAGGCAAACAGCCAAGCCACCGCTGAGTCCATCACTAAGACTCAGGATGAGCTTAGGCTTGAGCAGGCACGGAATGAGGCTCTCAACAGAACTGTTGAGACGCTCTCTGCCTGGCCTACTCAACCGAGGCCCATTCGGATGGACCACCGAAGTTCGATGGAACTATCCCTCACACGATTGTTCACTGGCTATTAGCAGTGGAGCAATGTGGAGTGGCGCAGCTCATCGAAGACGACACCAGAATGGTGTCGTATGCCATGTCCAACTTGCGTGGCAAAGCGTCAGAGTGGGCATAATCTGCGCTGATGGCTAATGCTGATGCATTTCCATCATGGGCGATCTTTAAGTCAAAGATTTGTGCCATGTACCATCCGCCTAACATCGAAGTGTTGCTTATGGCGCGATTCTTTGGAGCACGACAGGCGAAACGCTCTCTGCAAGATTTTGTGCAGGAGATGCGTTCGCTGTCGGCGTCCATTAATGGGGAACCGATACCAGAGCGTATCAAGGTGGCCACGTTCATGAATGGACTTAGGCACGGCCCATCGCGTCAGGCCCTTTTCAGAAAGGTGCCAGAGACGATGGAAGAGGCAATTGACATTGCCTTAGTTGAGGAGCAATCCTACAACAGCGCCTCGGCGACAGCCTATTACAGGCCGTCGTCCGAGAGGTCTGATGCCACTCCTATGGAGTTAGGCAATGCAGATGTGATCTGCTACAAGTGCGGCAAGCGAGGCAATATGATGGCTCGCTGCTATGCCAAGGTAGCTGCTGGTGCTAAGGCATCCAGCAAAAGGTCTCCCAACCCGAAGGGAGGTGCGAAAAACCAGCGTGCACGACGCACGGGTTCAGCATCTGCCCAAGATGGGAAATGCGGGAGCGCAGTAGGGGCGGGATGCCCTACTGTCGCGGACTCTGAAGCTACCCCTAAGTTCAGAGTGATCGAACAAATGGGTAGCATAGTCCCTGAGGTTCCGAAAGGTCGAAACTCAACCCTTTTGGTCTATAGCGCTCGAGTACGAGGCTATGACCAAGTGATGACCCTTCTCGTGAATTCGGGTGCATCACAAAACTTTGTGAAACTCGCGGATCTGAAAAAGAGACCGGCGAGTTATGAGTCGCTTTGCCAGGATGGCAAGCGATAAGAGGCGATCGTTCTTTTAGCGAACGGCGCGCTCGTCAAATCGGAGGGAGTTCAAGTTGAACTCGCCTTCAGTTTCAGTGACTTCTCTTGTAAAGAGAAGTTCACATTGCTAGGTATGGAGAGTCCGTACGACCTCATCCTAGGCATGCCTTGGTTGGCTAAACACCAACCATGGATAGACTGGCGTACACGCACAGTCGCTAGCTCTACGCAAGACACCGGAAAGGATGTGCTCTTGCGAGAGGCTTATGTGACTGATGCTGTGTCCAACACAGTCGAGGGTGCGATGACGGTATGTCAATCGACACCAGTTACTACCCAGCTTGAAAGGAGTGGTGTAGTTGGAAGTGCCCTGGCAGAAAGCCAGGTGACACATATTCCTACCCAGCCCGAGGAGACTGGTGTAGTGAATGGGGCGATGACAAGTAGTCATGCGTCCAATAGTCCTGCACAGAGCCGAGAGCCTGTGGCAGTTGATGGTGGGCTGACAGGAAGTCAAGCGCCACAAGAACCGGCACAGAGCCAAGAGCCTGGTGCGGTTGGAAGGAGTGCGTTAGCTGAGATAGCAACGACACCTTCTTCCAGGTCAAAGGTCGTGGTGACTTGAAGAACGAGCACCAGACGTATTAAGACGATCAAGGGCACGTCGAAACGAGTGACCCTTGGATCAGTCTCGGTCCAAGATGACAGGCCTACGAACGAGTTTTTCGAGGCCGTCGAAGACAAAATGCCGGAGGCATCCTCAGTTGAGGTGCTCCAACTTGTCTTGGCATCTGCCGAGGAGATAGTAAATCTCTCGGAGATGACGTGGGATCTGTTCCTGTCCGAACTAAAGGAAGGAAAGATCCACGAGATAGTCGCACCA